CGACGACCAACTCGCAACACTTTTCATCCCTAGATTAATTTACACATAAATTGACAAGATCTATAATTTCGTCATATATCCATTGTTATAAAATTACATTCAATAAGATCCAATTTCACACCAAAAATAGAAAAATAAAAAAATAAATAAATCCATTGGGTTTTGAACAACGTAGTTGACCTTCTTAAATTTCCGAGCCAACTGGTGCAATGTTATCTGACCCGGACTTTAAGGTAACATGTAAATTTTTTGTGATGTACATTGAACCTATGAGATGAACCCAATTTGTTGTGGTCTTCAACTATACAAAGATTCATCCAATTAAAACCATTCAAGTGTCAGTTCAAACCATTGAATTTTTCATCATTATTTTTTCAAATAAAACGTAGCCCACCAATAAAAATCCAGTGACATGTTTTATTTAAGTCGAATTGTACGTGATAGATGTTTCTTCCTTATAAACGATTTAAATTTTACATAATTAATTCGATGTGGTGTCATGACATATAAAATTTCTGAATTCAAACCTCGTCATTTATGAAAATGGTGACTCGAGGGGACGTGTTAATTTTTTAGTCATTTCAATTGTTACTTATGGAACATGGCATAATAGATTTTAGGAAATTTTATAATCTTAAACATCGACAAGCAGCCAACTTATATGATCACTTATATTCATAGATCTCTATGCATATGTAACAGGAAAAAAAATTAATTAATATTTTGAAAATAATTAACGTACCTTACTTGGAATACTCCGGCCATGAAATACTGAATCTTCTGGTATTGTTCCATTGAAAGACGGCAAAAAATGCACATAAATTGAATAAAATCCTTCGTTTCCTTTGAAAAACTTCTCCCACAAAGGCGCCAATGGCAGAATCCCTTTGGCTAAGAACATGAATGCAACTTTTGGGGTACGTTTGAATGGAAAATCGCGTAGATGCGGCACCATGGAAGCTCGCCAGAGGAGCTCTTCCTCTGTCATGTCATGCATAGTTGGTGGTGGTTTGAGGAATTCTTCCAATCCAATTCTATCTGCAATTGGTAGAGGTGGTGGCAGAGATGGTGGAGGTGGAGGTGGAGGCGGCGGCGGTGGCGGTGGAGGTGGAGGTGGCGGTTGATTTTCAATATTGGAGAATTGCTTGGGTGGCAAATTTAAGGGCAAGTCTTTGAGATAAAAACTCAATGTAATTCCAATGACTAAACCAGAGCCAAAGAAAAGAAAGTATATAATGAGATTGTGAAGATATCCTTGGGAATTTATAAGCTTAACAGATGAAATTAGTTTCTGTCTTTCTACATCTTGTTCGTTCTTCATCTTGTGCGAGAGAGAGAGAGAGAGCTTGTTGTATGCAAAAAGAAGCTTGGTTTTTCTATATCTATATCTATATCTATATATGAAACTGCATGTAAAGAGAAAGAAGTTGAAATCTGTAAGGCTAAATGGTATTCAAGAACGAGAAAGTCGACCAAAAGACTAATACCATTACTGACTTTTGTTGCCGAAACCAGAGGCAAGAAATAGATTCACAGACAAAGAACAAGTTGCAGAACTGGGAAAGTGAATTTAATTCAGATCACGATTAAAAAGGAACAAGGAAAGTGAATCTGTTTATTTGAGAGAGAGAGAAGGGGAAGAATTCTCTTGATGACAAGTGGAAATCATATGTCCAAAAACATTGGGATGACAACCTTATTTTCAGGAAAATGGAAACCTCCTTCATATGCGTCTCTTCTTATTCAAAGGAGTTTCTTTTGGCGAAATTAATTATTTTCTTACACAACGTATGAATTTAATTCTTCTCCTAGTCAAGTGGGAAAATTAAGCTCGAGGTCACCTAACCTATAAGTCCAATTGGGGTTTAACTATCGACTTCAATTCGTTTTTAAATGATCACATAGTTTACCTTTTTTTTTTTAACGAGCATGCATATCTTCTTAACCGGAACATATAGACCATGTCTTGTTTTAGTAGAGAGTCCTCGATCTAATATTAATTTGAAATTAATTACGATACCGGATTCAATGGCCAAGCCTTCATAGATTGGATTCCGACCCGATTGAACAATCTTCCCCTAGCCCGTTTCTCGAGGGAAACAATAGATCAGGTCAAAGTCAATCCAAATCAGTGAGAAGAAATAAGATATGGGAAGCTAGTTTGATGTTATAAATTGTGTTAAGAGATGAAATCACACATCGAATAAAAATGAAAATATAGATCAATTTATAAGGGTTTGAACTCTTCCTCTTAATAAAGTTGGCATTTTAAGATGGAATCCCAAGTCTTAACGTGATATCAAAGTTCATTAAACTCTAACGAACAATTCGATCCGATTAAAACTCAAAAAATCAGCATACGGATTTCAAGATTGTTCTGTTCAAATGAGCCACCATCTTGAGAGACATGTTAAGGGATGAAATTTCACATCGCATAAAGATGAAAACATAGACCAATTTATAAGGGTTTGTATTACTGCTCTAAATAAGGTTGATCTTGTAAGAGATTATGTATGCACTGCGAAACGTGTTCAAATTTGTCGGTCCAAATTGAATAATGTTATTTGTCTAAAATACATATAGCCAACAGTCTAAATACCAATTAAAGTTACAATTCAACCTCTTAAATGTAAAAATACAAGTCTCATTTAAGACATTCAATCATTTATTGACTTTGAACTCTATAAAAGTTTAAAATTCATGTAATTTCTCTCTCTTTCTTTTTCCTTTTTTTTTTAATTACCAAAATACTCATTTTTCCCTGATATTCATCATAATTTGTTTATACTAGTTTCGAGATGGATCCATGCAACATTAATGTCTAATTGACCTCAATTTCCAATTAATATTAATTAATTACTTAGATTCTTTTTAGTCACTGTTTCAATAATATTTCTAAAAGCTAATGTAACGGCATAATTCGTGCTCCTAGGAGAAAAACTGTTGTCGGTTCAATATGAAAATTCATTCAGCAGTGATGATTAATTACAATAATTAAGTACAAGTGTCAAGTAATTATTTATGAGCAAATTGAGAAGCCAATTCATTGAAAATAATTGAATAAAATTGATTGAAAATGAAGTTTTAAGATACTATTATCGTCGAATACGACATCTTAAAAATCAAATTTGGTCATATGTATTACATTGTTAAAATACAGCGGAATATTTCAAGAGTTTTACGGGATAGAGCCGCCACGGCGATTGACTAAACACGAATATTTAGAAAAAAATTGACATTATTACAATTATTGTTAAATGTTTTTCAATAAAATTATCGAGTGGAATTTTTACTGTTAAGAAAAAGTATTCTGCCTCAAGGAGGGGATCGACCCCGGCCTCCTTGGGCCCTGCACACGTCCTTGACCGTGCCTAGAGTGTACTGGACGAACCAAGTTCAGATAGCCCAATACATGTTGACTACCCTAACTATAAATAGAACAGTTTCTTGTAACTGAAATATTCAATCTTCTTCTGTCAAAAGATTTCTTATAATTTCAAATTCTTTCCATTGGGTGACCCTAACACCCTGATGAGAAGGTCAAGGACTTATGCAGCATTTTACTGAAACAGTGGCAAACTCTAAGTAAAGAGAAATGTAACAAATATTTAACACAGATGTTAACAATTTATAAACAACCTGCTACAAAATTAAGGGCAGGATAGTGGTAGGGCAAGAACTACTTTATGGTTGGTGCCCCCAAGAAAACACGTTGCGTATTTGGTAGACAATACTAAACAAGACTGGACATTATATTGAACGAGATTTTAGGTGCTTTTTCTTTTTTAGTATTGTCTAATGTTATCCAATACTCCCTACAAAACATGCCGTCCATCTCTTTCACCAGTCAAATTTGCTACAAAGCATGCATCAACTTCATCTAATTTGTGTATTCAATAATCTTCTTCATCTTCCTATATGTACATATCCATCCTCCTTCCAAGTAATTACTTCTCATTTCTCTTGCTGTAAGTACACGTCCAAACTCTATAAATAAATTCTCCATGAGCTGCAGTCTACTCGTTGATTGTTGACCATTTTGACATGTTAGGTACAGAAGATTGGACAACACTAGACAATATTAAAGAAGATAAATAAGTCCAAATCTTGTCAGTCCAGCCAATACTACTACTATAACATGCAACTTTAGGCAACTGAGTTCTCGAGGAACCAAGGTCATGTTCACATACTTAAGGATTACATGTCTCAAGCATGAGCAAGAATCAAAACTTGGACTCCTCTACACCCATAGCACAATTATTCCTCAATAGAATTACAAAATATGCAAGCCATACAACTTGAGTTTTAAGCAAACAAACCTGAGAAGTCAAAAGGCCACAGTTCAAACATAAAGTCACCCATTTCTATGACAAAAGTGTAATCCATGAACAGGTACAGCCTTACAAAATTCCACGCATTCAGGGTCCATTTTAACGTAAAAATCTCTCCCTTTGAGACGTTCCCACAGGAACATTTGGTAAAAGCGTCCATTTTTCATGTCAAACTGCAATAAATTAAGCATGGAATATGAATGTTGTCTCGAAAGATATTAATTATTATCACTACATTTCTGTTTATTAGCAAAATAAATCATCAGTTCTCAAGGACTCAAGCCAAAAGACCAAATCAGGCAAAGTGGGCAAAAGAGCATATGAACACATCAAAAGATGCAAAGACCAAAAGCCTAGTAGTTGGCATTATAAAGCAGGTTCAGATGGCCAGGCACGCCTTCTTCACAGGTCATGGGCTAATATAGACTCCCACTCGCATGGAAATTCCTAAAATATCATAAACATTTTCACCTTTATGCATGCATTATTAAATAAAGAATTACATAACATAGCAAAACTCACATCTATTTGAGTTGTCTACTTGGACATAATGAACAAGAACAAATCAGAGTACTAATGTTATCAGTTTCATCACAAGTAAAAAGGCATATAATAAAGAATAAAGATGCAGCATGTTGATCATTCAGAAGCAAGAATGTAAAAACAACCAGTAAGCTAAACAAACTGTTATCTGAAAGACAACAGCACTGTCTATTGCTAAAAGCTAGGGGTGGGCACAGTCTAGTTTCAAAGAAAACCAAACCGAACCAAGAATTACTAGGTATCATGTAAATGGAACCATCGGGTCCAACTTTAATTATGGAATCGGTTCGGTTCGGTTCGGTTCTGTACCGTAATTAGATTTTTCAATATTTTCATAATTCCAACAAATACTTCATTCTCCTAAAGTTGGAAATAACACAAAATTAATGTAACAAATGATAGAATCCATCTTACAATAACAAACGTAGTCAAAATTTAAAAACAAAACAAGTTGTATAATAATATTCATTCACCAATATATACAAAGTTTGAAACAACACAGTATTGATCTATCAAATGATAGTTGTCCACTGGTATTGAATGGACAGAAAAAATAAAAATATTTTGACAGATTTGAAATCAAAAAATTAATAAAATAAAAATATGGGAGATTCGATTCTTGATTCAATTCTTCACTTTTAGGTCAAGAATCAAGAACTAAACCAAATACGTTAGTTCTTGGTTCTAAAACCCGTTACTCAATTTAACCTAGGAAGAACCGAACCAAACCGTACCGCTTGGTCCGGTTCAATTTTATCCAACCCTATTAAATACTTAAGATTGGACCAGCTTTTCTAGTTAGTATTATTTATTCCTCCCTCCCTCCTCCTCTACTCTTAAAGTTATGTTAACTTACAAAGTGGATGGGTCCATTGAAGTAGAGGCAATAAATGGACCAAATTCACTGTGCTAACTATATACCTAAGAAACTACCCAAATTAAAAGAATAATGTTCAATTTAAAACCCACAAAAGTTGGGCCACCCTGTTCCTTGCCCTAACATTTATCTCTTCTTCTTCACAGTTCACATGCTCCCAAACCTCCTGTTTTCAGATTTTTTTTTTTCCCTAATCTTTTCTTCCTTGATACATTGTGTGGTTTCCAGTTTCCTCCAAGCCCTAACGCTATGCTATTTTGATTCTTCTAGATGCATGAAACACTCATATTGAATATCATTTTACCATAAATCTCAAGGAAACAAGCTTATAAGAATTAGAATGTTTCCATGTCCACGAGCCCAGGATTCAGTGATTAGATGTATCTTATATTCGAGCACACGCCTGTACTAGATATTGGCACCAAGCGAAGTGATCTGGCCCTACAAGTTCATCAAATTTACAGATTTCCCCCCACTTTTTTGCTACCCCTCTACCTAACTCCACTATGTTACAGATAATAAGCACCAAATGACAAGGGAAAGGCCACAGTGAAAAGTCATGCACAACACCATAAAGATCACCATTAAAACTAGCCCAGGAGACACAGAAGGTAAAAAGGCAGAAAAGGTGGAGGAAGTCCTTTCGTCCAACTAAGAGATGATTTTTCAAATCCTATTCTGTCCTTTTATGAAGATGTATGATCATGGAAATCACGCATTTTTCTCACAAGCTTATTGTTACATCAGCCAGTAATGCCCTTCTAAGATGATTTTTCAGAAATAAAAGTTAGCAAGACCTGGACATTGCCGGAAATTCTAAAAATAAGGATGGTGTTGAATAGATTCTGCAAACCTGTATAAGATGGGGAGATGAATATGAACATTTTGTTTACATAACTTTATATGATTACGATCATAGGCTGGTTTCCATTGGAAGACATTCCAGGCATCAGGATAAAAAATGTGGATTGTATCATATTCAGATTCATAGATTAATATTGTTGTGGAGGTACCTTGGTGACTCAAAAAAAGTTGCAATCATATATTTCCAAATGCAAACGCTTGCATCTAGAGGCATTGTCACTGGTAAGGCAAAGATTTGGTGCACTGTTTCCCTTGTGACGCGAACAGAATGGAAGAGAGTATTTTGAGGGCTTGGAAGAAATAGATAACCCTCTTTTGAGGACCAAAAACACCAACTATATTTGCCTACTTTTTCATTACAAAAAAGATTTCATTATGCACGACTGAAGATTGATAATTCCCGAGGAGGTATAATTGAAGACTGAGAACGTAATTCTTTCAGCGCTTAGTAAAATTATTTCCACATTGGTGCTCCCCCTACAGGAATTGAAGCTTTACAAAATAAAAGGCACATTGGTGAAGGGGGAAGAAAGAAAAAGAATCTAAAAGCTTATAATTTGAAGGTAAGATGTTAAAATCAGAACTAATGTATTGCTTCATTCGCACAATCCACATAATCAGTACACAAATTGGATATACATAATGAAACTTCAACCACTGTACATGGTACATATATAAAAATGAAAATGGACAAAAACACAAAATAATCATAAACAACCGAGATACTTTCATCTCACAAGCACCATAAAGATAAAATCCCATAAATGCTTATGCACTGATTGCTCATGATATTACGAAAAAGAGAAATAAAATATTGTCTATCAGCTTTATCATAGCCAAACTATGGTGACGGGGTGGGAAAGTCAATGTTTATATACACGAGAAGTTACCTTGACAATTGAAAGAGGTAAAACATGGTGGAATATTACTCCATTTTTCAAAGGTCTCAACGATAACAATGCTATAAAAGAAAATCTGGGATGACTGGTGATTGTGCTGCAACATTCAATGTCCCATCTGCTCTTTGCCTTGATTTGTGCTTACCATGTCTATGGTCGCTCTTCTGCTTGTCTTTATGATCATGTTCTTTCTTCTCCTTTTTTGAACTTGGACGTTTCTTCTCTTTACCATCACTATGGTGTTTATGTCTTCTTGAACTTGCATTTCCAGGCTCAGATGCAACAGTGTTTGTCACAGTCATGTTTGATTCAAAAGGTCTGTCAATAGTTAACTCATTCTTCTCCCTTTTCTTACTTGCTTTGTTTGATGATTTACTTTTTGATGATGATGATGCAGCTTCATTGCCTAAAAGCACTTCCCGTACAGCACCTGAAATTAGATCATCATTTAACTCAGGTTTCTTAGCAGCAATATGTGCTTCTTCCCCATCATCCAATTTTACAACCGCAGGCCTAGGCTTTGCTTGGTTTCGCTTTTTCCTAAGATCAAGCGATTGCTTTGTTAGCTTAACAAGATCGTCAGCCTCATCAATAGCCTCGTCTCTGTGTTCGTGAGCAGGTGGGTAATCATTGGATATCATTTCTTTACTCTCTGAAGGAAGATAATATAGTTCATGCCGCTTGCGATGCTCGGCAAGCAGAGATGTAGACTCAGACGATGGTTCATATTCCTCTTTACTCAACTGTTCAGGAATTGTAGTTCCATTGGTCACGGTATGAGATCTTACAAGGGAAAATGAACTTGATACAGGTAACTTGATATCATTAGAGATTGCTTCAATGTCACTAAGACTTTCCTTGAGCACCAACCCATCAGGTATTGGTACCCTCTTTTGAGCACTAACTGAAACTGGACCTAGCTCCCCTGAAAATGCATCGAACATCAGCTTCATCATGTCAGAGGCTCTAAGTTCTCCCTTAATTTTGTCTCCTTCACTCTCATCCATGGAATTATGTATCCTTGGTTTTATCAACTCAATCATACCAAGGACATTACTTGCCCTCTCCTGTATTTCTACCTCATGACTTCCTGCTACCTGGCCCAAATTAGTTTCAACAAGATTTACTAGGTTCATTATAGATTTTTGTGTTAACTGCTGTTTCTTTGAAGAAGCTGGTGATGTCTGCTCATGAGTAATCATTATATCCTCACCATTTCCTGTTGGCTGATGTGAACTCCTTGGATTTAACCCATCATCTAGATCAGAATCAGAAATGAGTGCACTTGTTACTGTTTCAGAACTTCCCTGAAAATCCTCTTTCAAGACCAAATCTGTTAATTTGGAAGGATATAAAGCATCATCTCCACTTGAGAGAGAAGAATATAGGCAGAAGGTCAATACTTTAAATACAGACTGAATATATACAGCTCTTATTGGAGGTGGTAGAAGACAAGTCCGTGGTTGTAACAGCGATTCCATGAGCTCAAGTAGATTTCTAGAAAACTCAACATACTCCCCTGATAAAAAAGCAGCAGCAGATAAAACCTTATGTATATACAGATTTCCTAGCAAAGCAGGATCAATTAGCAAACCACGAGAAACATGAACAAGCTGCGGTCTAACATCTTTAACCCTCATACCAATATCTATAAGCTGGGTCTCAATCTCCTCCCCCTTTCGACAGTGAGGAATCCTGGACATTTCACCTAGAAGTGAAATATACCAATCAAAATCAGCTATCACTTCGTAAAGATTCCTTGAACAAGTTGACAAGATGGACCCTAGAATCTCATTACAAAACTCTGGGTCAGACTTCAGTGCATAACTGATCAAAACCTTACAAATTTCAGCTACGTTATCCTCTGAAACCATAGTCATCACAAGCTGCAAGGCCTCAAGCTTAATATTCACATCAACATCATCCAATGACTTAATTACGACCTCCTTGTTTTCCAAAACAGCCCATGAATGCTTCACTGCTACAATGGTCAGCGCTTGTAGACCAAGGTAATTCAGATTCGGATCACTTTCCAACAAAAACTCCTGTATTTTCATGACTGCAAGCTTCACTGCAGGTTCATACTCACTCAAACTAGTTACGATAGTATTCACACACTCAAATGCCAATGATTTAGCTCCTGTTCTTCTCAGATGCTCACAAATTGGTTCCACTATTCTCTTTGCAAGCCTCGGCTCTAACGGGGCTAACTTGGCAAAAATCTTTAAAACCTTAATTAGAACCCAATTATTCCTGGAATCTACTAATATCTTATAGAACTCGGGAGCCAAGGGTAAATAAGATCTGGGTTCCTTTACAGTAAGCTCACAGAACAATCCCACGGTAGCAGACAAAACACCCATATCACTGCTCTCAAGATTTTCGACAATTCGTTTAAAACAAACACGGACAGCCTCCGGATACTGCTCAAAAATTCTTAAAATAGCCAAAATGGCTTTCTTTTTTACGAAATTCTTAGAACTATTAAGCAATGTAAACAACTCCGGAGTCAAATCACGAGACAAATCCGGTGTAGAAATAGAAGAAAGAGTAGATAGAGCAAGACTCACATCATGAGGACTGGAGGACGAAAAGTCCTTGCGCAGCTGGTGGGTCAAGAGCAGAATAACATCAGTCGTAGGACTGAATGAAAGTGAAGCCGATAGCAACGCAAGGCGCTTGTGGGCGTGCACGGCGGAGGAAGAAAGCTCGACAGCAGGGAAAGCGGCCCAAGACATATCAACTCCATGTAAGGAGTGCAAATAAGTTAACTTCTGGAGGGCTGTGGCCTTTGTTTGTGAATCGGTAGACTTGATCTCACGGCGGATCTCATCAATGGACTTGGCGATGAAAGCCGCTTCGCCGCCGGCTGGGCTCAAGCGGAGACCCTTAATTAGATCGTCTAAGGAACGCTGAAAAAGGGAGTCCATTAATGAAGGACCCGCCATTCATTCATCAAAATCCAAGCTATTTCCAATAACTTTCAATTCAGAATTTTCTATTTCTACAGTAATTATGATTCCGGTAATCTCTATCGGAGAAGAAATGATTGATTGAAGCAGAAATAGAGCTTAGATGATGGGAAATAATGGAGAAGGGCAATTGATTTGGGGTTCAGGAACTGATGGCCATGGCCATGGGGGCGTTGAGTGGGGAAGGAGGGGAAGGGGTTAAAGATTTAAAATTCCGATTGTAATACAGGTAGAAGTTAATAATTGATTTTAAAAGTATCAAATTTTAAGTTAAATAAAATTAACAATTAATTCTAATAACGTATTTTATGAAATTTACAAAATTTTAATTATGTATATTATTATTTTTTATCAAAATTTATTAAGAATCTAATTTTAATCTCTAATCTTATAACTCCACGTAAATTTTTAGAAAACTTCGTCGTATATAAATATTTTTTGGTTAATTATTGAAAAATTAAACTTTTTTCAGTCTAGAAGATAAAAATTGAAAGGTAACAACTTTTTTCTCACAAATAAAATTGGCCCTGCCTTTGCATAGCTAGAGCATGTTTTGCTAAGTTTAAAATCCAATTAAAATTGAAAATATAGTCGTTATTGGGTCTCGTTCGTCTAATAAAAGTCAACAATAATGCTAATTTTTCAATTTTAATCTTTAATCTCTATCGAACACGCCCTCAGTCCATCTCCATATTTTTGTTCTCCAATCACTAACGAGTGACAATACAAAGCGACACAAACACAATGTGGAGTAAATACAGATAACTCAACTTAAAATTAGCCCTAAACCCATTTACTTTGTACTCTACGAGCTCGTTGATAAATCAATGACCAATACCTATTATGTGCGCACTTCGATGGTAACATTACTAAACTTACAATGTCATCGAACATTATAATTCTACACCAGTGCACGTTTTTCACTCATAATGTCAATCATAGTTACCCGATCTGAATTGATGTTGTTCTGACTAGATTACCAAGTTGCAAGATCAATGGTTCGATTCGTGAATTATTGAGTCAGTCTACAAGAATATATTTTGTAAAGGAGAGATATCATTGATCCTCAAATGTTGTAGTCTTCTTTTCCTTCGTTTTGCATCTTGTATGGGAGAAAATAGATGACATCGAATGATATTGTATATTATAAAAGAAAAATAAGTTAAACTCATAATTTGCATTGGACAAGATAAAAGGTTATCAAGACTATAATCATGACGTGTTCATCAAAATTATTCATAGCATCTTCGATATAATGTATTAGGTAGATTTGATTGTTTAATAGTAATTAAAATGATTAATAGTAGAAAACCCCCAAAAACGTTTCCATATGTGAATACCCTCTTATCTATTGAAAATAACAAAAAATCCCCTATTTAAAATATTTTGTGCGAAAAACCCCTTATGTCAAGATCCATCAAATTTACCATTAAAAACAGTAAAAAATGTTAAAATTGAAAAAGAATAATTGCAATTTTAGTGCCCAATCTTTTTATCTTTTTACAAATTAAATCCAAACATTTTATGTGCTACTTACAATCTCAAATTTTTAAAACTTTATTTTTCACCCCACCCCATCTCCCCCCCAACCCCAAAAAAAAAAATTTTTTATCATTTAAATGAAACCAGAAGAAAATAATCCTATATGGATAAATTTGAAGGATTGACCTTCTGAATTTTAGCCCCTGTTTGGTACACATTAAAATTTTTATTTTCATTCTTCTACTCATATTCAACCACACATCTTTCAATAAAATAATAATATTCATCACATCAATAACTTTTTCTTAATTTTTAACCACATATTTCTCATCATATCACTATTTAAAATACATTCTTTCCTCAATAATATCCATCAAACACCTTAATATTTCGTACTAAATGTGCAATAGAAGAACATTTGAACAAACCAGTAAAATAAAAAAAATCAGCAACCAAATTACTAAAAACACTAATGTTGGGGGTCCAAAATTGCGATTTGCCCTATTTTAATACTTCATTGAGTAATTATAAATATTGTTTCTTCAAAAGTTTTCATAAAATTTAGACCAAAAATATTAAAGGGTAAATAATCAAATAAAATATTTAATGGAATTCAATTATCATTACTTTCTAAAACTCAATCAAACGAATCAACGAAGAATAATACAGTATGCATGCAAATATGTAGCAAGTAAAATATTGCATTATGTATAATGCAACCATATACACATTCAAGAACCAAGTATAGCTCGTGTGGAGATGCCCTTCCTGTCGTGCCTACCATTTTCTTGCCTTCTTACCCCCAAAAAAAAAAAAAAATATTGAATTGAAAAAATAATCGAGCTAAGCATGGTCTCCCCTGTTAGAGATTGTGCAGGACTTCAAATATTTCTGCATGGTCGCCTCAGACGAAAAATGCGGCCTGGGGAGAATGCATAGACCTGTAGAAAGGTTGAAAGAATAGCACACAACGCACAAGAAATTACAGCAAGTGGGGAAAATCAGTAGTACTTTACGAAGAAATTTCACTGTGGCACCAACAAGGTTCAGTTACAGATATATACACAGAATACACAGAAGGCCGAACTGATTTTGGGAAAATTTCCTAATACCGAGCTCATTTCAGTAATTATGACCACTTTTATACAAGTTTTCTTTCGAAGAATCAAAATACGAAATATGAATGCTCGTTGATTTAATCAGTGTTCCAACGTATCACTATAGCATGATCAAAAGTTTCCATTGGCAGGAAGATAATAGCCAGTGAGACGCTTCAACTGATCAACTTTCTAAGTCTCTTTTCAGCCATACTTGCAACCTTATTCTGGGGTTCGAGTACAAGTGCATGCTTGAAATCTGCCAAGTTACACCAAAATATATAAGAGAACTAAAGAAAGAAATTTAGTAGGAATGGACAGAAAGGGATGGGAGGGGATGATTTAAAAAAACAAATAGCCCACAGGTTACATTATATTAAATAGGCACGTTCCATGTTTGAAGTGCCCTGAAATTTATTGAGAATAAGGCTTAGTTTATTGTTTTACCATATTGAAATATCTCATCTAAAAGCTTGATTTTCAGTGGGGACAAATTTAGCCCCCATTATTTGATATACAATTTTTGAAATAGTGTTTTTTTTTTTTTTTTAATATGTGATTGAAAATGAAGGAAAGGTTTTTTATTCACGTGTAATATTATTTTATAGGAAAAATGAATAGTTAAAATGAAGATAGAGAAAAATGTATTATAAATTTAATTGGGGACAAACGGCCTCCCTTGTATGCCTAATACACTTTTTATCAAAGGAAGAAAACATAAACAAATTTCAATTATGGGGCAGCAAAACTTGAATTCAAAACATTTGTACGTTTCGGTACCATGTTGAACTACCTCGTCTAAAAGCTTACGCATTTCTGAGAATGGATGAATTTATTTGTTTAAATATTTAGTCAACATTCCACGTCGTAAGCCGTACAAAAGGACACCCATCTTTTAGATAGCAGTAAAATGATAGGAGAGTTAAAGCAATAAACTTTTAAATTACATTATTCTGACCTTGAAGAGCCTCCTTATAGAAAAGAAGTGATTCCCGAGCTGTCCCTCGCCTCAAATATGCCTTCACATTCTGCATAGGAAAATAAAAGGCTCTTAAAACATCATTAAAATAGATTGATGGGGGCTTTTGAAATGCTACACCAGTGCATTGCATGTTTTCTTCTTGCAAAATGGGTTAAAACTTGTGAAAACTGCACTAGGCTCATTAATCCTGAGTTTAGCATTCAATGAATCAGCAAACCACATATTACAAAATCTTGGCCAATGATTATCCAGAAGAACTTAGAACTATAACAATCGAAATCTCTCACCTTCTTATCTAGAAATATAGCCTCAGTGCAATCCTTTTCAGCTTGCTGGAAGCTGTTAAAAGGTAATTCATTAAGAAAAAGGGCTTTCAAAAGTAGATGGATAAAGAAAAACCAGTCAGAAAATCATGTTACAGACCATCCCAACTCCAAGTAAGCAGCTGCTCGATTGGAGTAGTAAGTAGCGCTTGTCTCATTCAATTTTATGGCCTCTGTATAGTAGGTCACAGCCTTATTCCACTGTTTCCCCTTGTATGCAGCATTCCCCTGCAGCAAAGTAAATGATCGATATTAGAGAAGACGAGAACTTAAGAGGAAAGAATCACTTAAGCCAACATCGCACACACAATAGATGAGCGTGGCCACTGGCCATCCATCATTGCAGATACTAAGTGTTCGCATTAAAATATTGATGTAATGACTTATTTAATGCTTCACTGCTTCATCTAATTTTGGAAGGACTTAGGACTATAACAAAATCATGAAGGACAAACTTTCAACAAAAGGAAATCATATCATACTAATTAAAAATTTAAAGAGACGGACCTTTTCTTTCAGTAGTTCAGAGGCCTCCATGTTACCATTGGTATCTGGCAAGGGTGAAGAATTGGAAGCAATATTGACCTCTTCTTGAAGAGATGAATAGATATCCAGAACAGTATCAAGTAGGAACTTATCAGTTCCATGGGATGCAATAAATGATA